ATCCACCTCCATGTCCCGCTCAAAGCACTTCTCACTTTCCATCATGTCTAGCTCTCCTCCTGAAGCCTTCCTTACAACTTACAAGCCAATTTGCAAACCAATAAGGTGGTTACCTGTACTTCTTTGTGCATGTCTTAACGTCCATGTCTGAAAATGTCCTTATTTAAAACTTTTACATTCTACATATTTATTTTTTGCACTATGAGCAACAGTAAGAACAATGACAGATACACTAATGGTATATACAGAGCCTTTCTTCATGCGCACAAAGTACATTTAACTAATTTACACTTAATTGATGCTTTGATCCTAATGGACTTTCAGCAGAGGGAAGGGCTACAAATTATATGCGCTCCCTGGGATTTAAATCCATGAACTCTGCATTGGAGCACAGTTGACACCATGCTTTAGTTTATGTCCACGCAAAATGTAAAATTGAGCTTACAGTCAGGAAATACAATACAAACCATGTTCCATTCTGATTCAAAATGTGACACAGCATTATATTTTTCAATATAGGACGATCAGGCAATATACAGGTTGGGTGCAAACTCTAATCTTCACATTAATTGCAGAATTACACTTGCATGTTCCTTTTGCAAAATAAATAAAAAACACTGAGAAAAAAAAATACATTCTCATTTACATTTCTCATACATGAGATTAGTTACAATCAACAGTAACAGTATTTATAAATCAAAACACTGTTTATGCTGGTAACATTTCATCACGGTAGCCCACCACACAAAAATCTTTACCACCACGGCAAAAGCACATCAATCCAACCAATCATCTAATCCAACGCTTAGGTCACTGACCTAGTAAGCCCGATTCCTGTCCCCACCCCCCAAGCACACATTACAGAATTCAGCTGGTTAATGGCACTAATGAACTTCCATAGATATTTTCCAAGGAAAAGAAAACATACAAGGTACAGAGAGGGCATTTAGTTGGGTGGGGAGTGATGATGCATCTCTTTCCTCTTTTGCACCCCATTCTCTCTCTCTCTCTCTCTCTCTCACACACACAAACACTCACACACACACCTGTAATCATATCTTTGTGGGGGCCGCTATTTCATTTCTATGGGAAAAATGCTTATGTATCATTCCTTTACCATTATGGTGTTGGATAGGAATGGGTGCAAAAATGATGTCTACCCATGGAAAAAATGGGAAAAAAAAACTAGGCTATATTAATTCATATAATTAAGTGCTTGTTCACCTGCATATACCTATGTACATCCATGACCTAAAATCTGCATTTTTTCAGTACTAATAATCCCCCCATGGCTCCTATGCCAAACCTCTTGATCCACATGAAACAAAAATATTTTTAACTCTTGGCACTTTCACTTAGAGTAAGCTACACCAGTTCCTTGCCAACAAATGAATAAAGAATACTGACAAAGCGACCGCATCTTGCCTGATGCCTCAACTCACCTTTTGAATTGTTAAACATGGGTAAATTGCTCTCCTTTTCAAACCAACATATTTGTGTGTGCGTGAACACACATACACACACTCACACACAGCTGAGAGCAAAGCTTGGGGTCCAAGTGCATGGTAAAGCCATTTATCCAGTGACCCTGGTGCACTTTGTGCGAATTGTTTAATGTAATCATTGGGGCAGCCACAATTAGTCGACATAGCTGAATATTTCAAAATCGGCGCATCTTTTTAAAAAATTATTTTAAAAGAAATTTCCTTTATGATTTCTGAAAACTTTATTATAATAAATGAATCCTTAAATATCAATACATAGTAACGTGAGTAGTTCAAATTATCACCAAACAAAAAGGTGGTTTGCACACTGTGCGGCACTAGCGTTATGCACAAGCACCTGAAGAGAAAATACACAAGTGCTATTCTAGATGGTGGACCACAAGAGTAGGCAAAACCATCGTAAGTGTTGTCTGTTTGTGTTTATTAAATTACCATTAGTACTGAGAGCTTTTATTGTCCTTCTGGCTGCTAAATAATACACTCATTATTAATGTCGTAAACTTGTCTGCCTGCTGCCTTAGAATTTCCAGTTCCACTGAATAAGTGTTTGAGAAAATGTTTTGGCTAAAATATGGGCTTATTCTACGTTGATTGATGGTGCCAATATGTTAGTTCATGCGAGCTGGGCTTGTTGGGACCGAGGGTTGTCAACTTTATTCAGCTGACTGGCGTGAGATTTTAAATTCACGACAAGTCTGCACACTCAGTTTTATTACCTTAAAGGTCTGTATGGTTTGCAAGCTACCCCAAAGCTTTTGATGCAGCTAATTATAAGTTTATAATGGAATAAGATAGATTTGCCGTAAGATTTTGTGCGCGAGCGTGAGTCTGGAAGCGTGAGTGTCACACGCATGCAACCTTGGGGACCGGTGCTGTTACCATAAACTAAAGCTGAAACAAAAGCAGACATTAAAAAAGAAAATAATGTGTGAAATGAAATAAAAATGAAAACTATATTTACCAAAACAAAGTATCAGACTGCAAAAAGTGCCGCTACTCACCAACGTCTTTTACCTTATTTAACCACAATATCTCCTCTTTTAAAAGATGTTGTGGCTGTTGAGCCATCCCTTTCTTCTCTTCAACTTCACCATGCTACTTTGGCTTTACCAAAACAGTAGCATGTGGCGTGCTCTGCTAAACAAATTTATTAAGCAAAAGGATATGCCGAATTTATACAGATTCCAAATTTTTGGGGCTTCACAATATGTATCTCATTAATATTTTAGGCATACCACTAATATCAGATTGTGGGCAAAAATAATGTCCCAATATAAATACCCAATATAAAGTCTCAAGAAAACATCATTACAAGCCAACCTTACCCATGCTCTCTACATCTCTAGACAACAACAACAAAAAATTCCCCAACATACATTTCATTGACCAGCTATCAGATTGCTATGGATAAAATCTGCAAAACATCCTAGTAATTCAATTAAATTTAAAAAGTAATCAATATAAAACTTTACTACAGAATACTCAGAAAGCATCTTGTGCTCCACAGGTTTAGGAAAGATTTGGACAATTAAGATTGGAAAAGTTCGGACAGATAATCAAGCTGAGAAGATCAAGTATCTGAGCTGCCCTTTTCTTTGCCATCACTATGCAGCAATCCTTGAAATATTGGGGTGATCCATCTCAAAATTTGACCACTTTCAGTTTGTCACCCCAACGATATACTGGTAAGGATTGAAAAAGATCTGTAAAATACTTTTAGAGTTACCAGACCAAGTGTCTCCTACAGCTGCCATTTTCTTACAGTATATTGCTTCCACGTAGCGCTACTGCTTCATTTTTCAAATTTGTCAAATTTGTCTGAAAATGAAATCAGGTGTAGATCTTGTGATTTGTGAAGCGGTAATATAATATGACACATCAAACTCTTTTTGACCCATTCACAAGGTTGAATTTCTGCTTTCACCCTTCTCTTGGCTGCCATTAAGCAGCGTAGCTTCAATTTTGGGGCGATTTGTCTCAGTGTAATCACCCATACAATACCTCTGTAAAGTTAGGAAAATGTCCAACAAACTGTTTTTGAGTTATTATCTTAACAAGCAAAATGTCTGAGGTGGTGGAGCAGACCTAAAACCATACATATTCCCTGTCCGGAGAATACAATAGGAGGGAAATACTGTACAGTACAATAGATAAATGGGAGCAGTATAGTGAGAGTCCTTTACTTCTGCATAAGCGTTAGAGGTTACACATGTGTAAGTTCTCCAGTCAGCCCGTGTACACACACACACACACACACACACACACACACACACACAAAATAAGCAGTTGTGTCTCAATCACCAAAAAACCTTAACAGTAGGACAAAATGGCCAAAAGTGGTTGTGAGTACAGAAAAATGCAAGCATCATCTTCACCATTAATTCCCATAGGCTACAAGGTGACTCGGTGGTTTATAGAGCAAAATCGCAAGTATAACGTTAAACATCAGGTCCGACCAAATCCGGGCAACCACAAGAGCTTTAAATTGTATATCCTGCTTATGTTTGCAAATATAAAATGATATATATAATAAAAACTTGGATGCATCTTGCGGCTAACTGTCTTGCGTTCAAGCCCGTCCAGGCCAAGAAACTGCTGCGCCAAATTACACAAACGAATAGATGATATAAAATATAAACAGATAAATGAGTGCCAACCAGGATGCCAACCTCTTCACAAAGCAGCCAAGCAGTTATTCGGAATACACTATGTTACATTTTGTTTGACTACATCGTTTCAAAAGTCACTGCAGTTGGCAAAACAGGAGAATAAATAAAAAGCTGATAACGAAGGTAGCGGCCGATTTCGTTTTCCGCGCATCGCCGCAATGTCGGCTGTTACCATGACAGCGGTGACCCCAACAGAAGCACGCGCAGGAGACCGCTCGCTAGCAGGGTCTGGTTACCCCCATTAAAACCGGCACCGGACCCCAGCTTATCCTACAGTATAACATTACCCTTCTGGCAACTACATATGTAGGGAGGCATGAGACCCAACTTGTAATCACATCCTCTACTACTTATTCCGGCCATGGCCGCCAAATCCGTCGCCTGTTACAAGTTACATCCGAAGCCAAGTACCGCAGAACACACCGCTTTACGAGTTATCCGGTTTACTACCTAAACGTATTCGTGTAACCCGGCTAGTCAGGCAAGCCGACTTGACCCACTTGGGAAAGTGCTCTTACTATCAACTCGCCAACTTTTGACGAAAGATAGCGGCACTGGCAGCAGCAAAACTAGCCGTCTGGCCAGTACTCACACCAAATTACCACATAAGGGAACAATAAACCGCCTTTATAAAACACAGGGCAACACATTAAATACGTGGAACTTTTCAGCAAATGAACAATCCAGTTCGATACAGCTGGCAACTTTTTTTCCTTCACTTTGAATCAGGGCGATTTGCTGGGAATCCGCTAAAAGATACCAGTACTGTTCCTTTATGATACACGCTCGCCTGCTAACACTTACAGTCCAAGCAAACGCAACTCACCGGTAAAGAAAAACAGGAGAAGTAGTACTCTGGCCCCCAATCCCAAGTAAGAAGGAATATTCCTGTGATAATATATTAATATAATCGCCATGATAGCCCCAAATCACAGTTGGTCTCAGACTCCGTGTTTCTTAACTCCGAAGACTCGGCGACAGCTTTCCACTGGGACCGAACTGCGCCTGGCTGTACCACTTCGCTGACTGAAATAGGGGTGCGCTGGACACCTGACTGTCCTAAAGCCAACTTTCATAAAAGAAGCCAGTTTCACATTTCACTAAATCATTTCTGCATAAGCGGTAGCTAGTCAATGAAATATTTGGAAACCAAAGCCGCATATTTACTCAATATACAAGTGAGTGGCTAGATATATGCATTTCAGAATCGTATTTCTATTGCTGCCGTGCGAAGTGCTGCGAAAGCAATGTTATGCTCTTAATTGTTGTTTCTGCATTGAGAATTTGTTGTGAAATGTTGTCCCGCAATTTTTGCAGACATTTCTGCTTAATTGTACGATTATACTTAGTGAGGTCTAATGTTGCTGTCCAGTAAGCAATGATTACATTCAGGAGCGCCACTAGAGATTTATGAAAAGGGAGGCTAAACTTTTACTTGGGGATCTGACTTTGAAAATACAACGAACGAGAACACATCATTTAAACTAATTAGTGTACATTTATGACACCCCCCCCCCAAAAATAAATAAATAAATAAATAAAAAAACAGAGCTAGTGATGGCCCTGCTCACATTATTTTCTGGTATATTTTCCTCATACTTTATGGGTATTACAACTCTGCCTATCCCTTGTCAGTGACTGAGGTCATACTTAACCATTTTCATCCCTTCCAGACTAGGTACTACTTAATTTTGTTATTGCTAAACTTTGGTTATATTGAAGATCGAATGGTGTGCTTTCTTTTCCTCTTGTTTCACTAAGTCCTCTCTTAGTGCCTGTAGGTATTGTCAGGAAGGCTTTAGTCCAACATTGCTGACACTTCCATCGGCTCAAATGTCCACATTTAAGAGCTTTGTAGACCACTTGTGCTTTAAACAGACCATGGCCAGAACTGGATCTAGGCATAGGAAAACTGGACAGCTGTATAGGGTCGGCCCGCCACACGGGGGGCCAGAAAAAGTCCCAGGTCTACCAAGGGGGGCCCAACCCAATTGGTGAAATCTAATGAGGGGGGCCCCACGCCAAAATTTATTTCTGTGTATGGACTTCCCGAGGGTCCCTGAAAAGATAGATCCAACCCTGGCTGTGGCTAAAGCCACATGCAGTGATTTTTTTGCACTGTATACAGTACACCTAAACTTACACTTTAGTAACTGGGCATCTGAGTTACTGAATTGGTAGCAGCAAGTGTTGGATCATTGTGACATATGGTGGCAGCGGTGGGATTCACTGGCTATGGGTCTGATATGGCAGAGAAGTCCAGAGGAGCTGGCAGGAAATTCAGTGGATTAGACTGGATTATCATTGATGCAAGGGCGAAGATTTAGGTATGGATGGTAGAGACGTGTCCCTTCCAATATTGTAGGAGTACTGTGTGTGTTTGGAGGGTGGGGGGTGGGGAGGGTTCAGGGCTGATATAGTCCTTACCAATGTTGAAATCAAAGCTATGTTCTTGTAATGCTGGTCTTTGGATTTCTTTGTTGAAGGTTCTAGTCAAAGTGGATGAACATGGTCTGGCTAATTTATTATTGCCATGTAAAGGTAGACAAGAACAAAGCCTATGTGTTGGATAGTGATATGGATAGGGGGGGGGGGGGATCCACACGAAAATATTTGTTTGTTTGAATCTTTTGCATAATTTATGTTCTGTTGTTCAAGGTTTGAAATGATTAAAAATGAAGCCATCTCAGCCACTGTTGAACAGAAACCCAACGCTATGCTCTAATTATGGTAATATTATTAATTATAGTAATTGAAGACTGATAATAAAATACTTAGGTAATAAAGTAGCTATAGGTCATGCTACCCTTATAAGAACTAGAATGCTATTTGATTAGCCAGTTTATTAGCCACAGTACTTGTACATAAATTGTAGTGTCCCCTACATGCATTAGTAAGCCAACTCTGTATTCATTACAAGGGGAATTATCATATTGCATCGTTTGTGGCTGACCCAGTGCTGACCTTAGTGGGCCTGATTTTGTACATGTGCCAAACAAGTGCTTCCCGAATGTCAATCAGACTCACTGTAGCCTACAGAGAAATACTATGTCATCTTACTAATTCTACAAACATGTGAGACTTACAGTTATGTGGAGCTGGCTGATACCCACTCCCAAAAAGGCAGAGGTTAAAACACGAGGAATTGCTAGTTATAGTAAAACATTTAAAAACTGACATCATGTACCACAATACATGTAAACTGGCTTGACTGTATATATCTGCGGAAAATGAACTTGCACAGGTGAAGTCACACTTGACAGGTGTGGAGCAAACCCTCCTTGAACCTTTTCTGGCATCATGAAATAAAGTGAAGGGTCAGATTTCTTCTAAAAACAATGGTGGGCTGAGCCACACAGTTGCTCACTAACCAGCTGCAAAAGAGACAAATGTTTTTAAAAAAAGACAGAAAGGTGTGACGAGACAAATGATAAAAACGTATGTGTTCAGGTAAAATGGTGCACAGCCCATTGCTGACAGTGCAGACAGAAATAAAAATACTGAACTATTAAGGCAAAGCACAGAATGTCAAGTTTCCACCACAGAGACTGCATTCCATGAAAAAAAAAAAATCCGTAAATACAGGGCAATAACGGTAGTGCAATTACACTCACTAGCAGCTCTGCCATGGTGAGGGCAAACAGCAGGGTCCAGTCAATTATGTGAGGTATTCCTCACGTCTGTGTAAAAGGAATGATGAAAACTAGTGAGCTGCATGGACTTTATTTGACCTTTTTTCTGGCCGAGGGACACAAGGGAAGAAAAACTGAGGCTTACTGTCTCACTTTTGCAACAGGAAAGCCTGAGGTGGATTGCTGACAGAAAAAATATGGCGTATTTTACCCAAATAATGTGAATCTGGCTCCATTGTTATTTCCGAGAAAAAAATGGCCTGGAGCAAAGCATGATGGTCCCCCCTCCCAAGATGTGCATGACTGACATCCCATAAATTTATGCTATGTAGCAGTGATACCAGATCACAAATTACTGCTTGTTGTAGTATATTGGGTTAAAGGTTTCTTGTGTTTTCTAGCCAGGATTCTGCTTGTCTTTTTAGCACAGAAGCACAGGAAAGGGTCTATCTATCCATTATCTATACCTGCTTGTCCTATGCAGGGTAGTGAGGGTGCAGAACCTGTCCCAGAACCAAGAGGAGCAAGGCAGGGAATAATCCGGGATGGGGCACCAGCCCATCACAGCAAAGTAAAGGACCTCACGGATAAAACAGTGCCTATTGTAAACCTTTTTCCAACAATCTGTGTCTATTTAAGAAAAATCTAAATTTAAGCGTCCTTTCTTTGCATATGGTCATTAGTCTAAAAAACAAAAGTAGTATTAATTAACTTTAATTTTGAGCAGGCAGTGTTTCTGAATGGCTAACAAAGCATTCATAGCTTTCCGAATAATTATGTCATACCACACTAGAGCAGCAGGTGGCACCAACAAGTCAGAGGACCTCCCGGACCCCTAGGAAGTGACATCATTATGTTCCAAGGGTGGATTGTTGAAAGATTAGAACCACCTGTGCTTCACGAGGACTGCAATTTCAGCCAATCTGTAACTGTAACATTTGTTTCTGCTCAATATTGAGTTGCTTGCCTATGGGAAAAAATACACAACCACCACTGTTGGTGGTTTGTGATGCTTTGTGATTTTAACGTTAGAACTTTCTGAGCTTTCTTCCAGTTTTGTCTCCCCTCAAGGAACTTTATCCTTGGGTAAAGATATTTGGCCTGGGTCTGCAGTTGTGCTTTGTTGGTTTTGGATTTGTGACAGTAAGATTAGCACAGCACACAATGAGGTACTGAGAGCTTCACTAGCTAACAAGGGTGTGCTGCCGGGAAGGTTGCTATGATAGCAAACTGCTACAGTTACGGAATTAGCTGAAGCTACACAACTGACTACCTCTAATGTTCACCAGCATGAGGAATGGAGGAGAAAAAACATAGGTCACTAATATACTCTGGACACATAGACGTTCTAAATGATGAGATCGCAAATCAGGACTGGGATCACCTTTGCCATATGTCTGGATCAGCAGATCTGTAGCAGATGCCTCCACCATGGCCTGCATCAGAGCCACTTACTACAGATGTTTTCTCTGCAGCTATGTTTCTTGAGTGTAGCAAACATGAGGCACAGCATGAGGGGAAATCGTTTTATTGCTGGAGAATGGGTCATTTTCAAAAGAAATGCCCAGGGCTACATGCAAAACCCAATGTTCTCTGGAGGACAAGCAGGCCAATGAAATGCTCAAGCAGAACCTAAAGAAGAGATTTAGGGAGGCCAAACGAAATAAACAGTCAGTGGATTGAGGGCCACTTCAACTGCAACACTGATCCACGATGCAAGGAATTAAGACTGTCATAGACTACAAGAACACCAATACCTGCCTGACCACAAATGAGGTCTTCTTCCCAGCCAAACTTAGCTGTATATTCGCCCTTGACGATACACTAGTACTGCACACCCATGATATCAGAAAGGTGTGGTGCAGCACAAATGCTTACAAAGTAGCTGGACTGGATGGCATCCCAGGACTCACACTTAAAGCCTGTGCTGATCAGCTAGCACAGGTTACCGCTAACATCTCCCTATCAGCCAATTGTCTCCGATCTTTCAAGTGGACACCGAGTGTGCCAGTATGTAAACAGTAAGTGGTTACTTGCCTGAATGATTCCTGGCCAGTTGCAATCATCCCTATATTGACCAAGGTATTCGAGACACTGGTTTTGGCTCACATGAAAAACTCACCACTCTCCTGCTGCGGATTAACACCAGTTTGCCTAAAGAGCAAATAGATCAGCATAAGATGCCCTTTCAACTGCTCTTCACATAGCACTGACCTACCTGGAGCAACAAAACACATATGTCAGGATGCTGTTCATTGCATTTAGCTCAGCATTCAACACCATCCTACCCAAGAAGATGACCTTGAAACTCCTCAACCGAGACTGCAGTACATCACTATATAACTGTATCCTAGACTTTCTAACTGACAAACCACAGACTG